CTCTTTTGACAAGTGGCTCGGCACCTCCCGAACGGTCGGCGGCGCACTCGGGCACTATCGGAGTCGCGCTGGCGGCGCGTGCGGCGCGAGATGCGTCAAGACGGCAAGTGTGACACACCACACACGCGGATCAGCTGCGATTTACCACGAGTGGGGAGAACAAAGAATTTGACAGGTTCCTTTAATGACGCTCCGCTTTACGCACACACGCGCGTAAATCGAGCACACACACATACACACACGCGCGCGCACAAAAATAAGCAGATGAAACGGATGTGCGAGTAGCCCGCGAATTATTGCGCCGCGCGATACGCTCTTTATGTCATAACTTATGACAGTCTCACGTGGCGACGAAGAAACGTTCTTGCCGTACGAGACACTTTTGCGCGATTGTATACAATGTACAATAAGCGGAGAAACCGAGCGAATGAACGTCGTACACCTTGCCGGGAGAGATCGTTCGTGATATGTGACTCAGCAATCGCGCTCCGATGCGACGTCGCGCACTTGTCAGGGCCGCAACAATAGCGCGAATTCCCCCGCGCGAATCGCTCGCGTAACCGAGATCACTATCACTGGCCGCACACGACGGAACAATTGGCGATGTGTGTGTTACTAGATTTTTATATATGATATCTTCAGGCGATATATACGAAAATCCAGTGACGTTGTCCAGTCGTTGAATGCGCCCACTATTTTCCCCTTAATTTTCCCCTCATTTAGCGAGGTAGAAGCTACACTAAAGCAATTTATTTCAGTAGTTATCAGTAGTTATCAGTTTGCCTCGCGACTTTCGTTGTTTTGCTATATATAACTTAATGTCTTAAAGTATGTCGTAAAATGTAAAAAATAAAAATATTAATGTGCCCGATCAAAATACGCCCGAGCGCGGATTCTACAATAGATCGAGAAAATTTTGAAAATCAGGGGGTCTATTATCTAATCTCGAAAGGAGTGAAAATGTGAAAAGTGAGCAAATTTAGATGCTGACTAATAAAATTATAAATATTCTAGTAAATTTGCTCACTTTTCGCATTTTCACTCCTTTCGAGATACATAATAGACCCCCAGATACATCAGAAGCACATTTATCTATATCGAATTCACATTGCGAAAAACGCTGCAATTTGGCGAATATACTTTCGACTGGTAAGTTTTAAGTAGTCTTCTATTATCTGTTTCTGATTCATTGCGATGTAAGTAGACATAGGTCGTGATAATAATGCAAAATCACCGCGTTGATAATAAGTTCCGATTAATGATTGATGTTGCATCACGATATTTATGCTTACATTTATATAACAATGCTTTTTATTATATTTTTAGTATGTTTGTTAAAATATGAAAAAAATATTATTGCGCCGTTTCTACTTGTAGCATATCTTGTATAAGATATACATATATATTATGTATAGACAGTTAGAATATATATTTTATAATCAGAGACACTTATCTTTATATCATAAATTTAAGAGGGAAGATATTTTATGATTAATTATAGTTTTGATAATGATTAATTAATTATAATTATAATGATGATTAATTATAATTTTAAACAAAAGAAAAGAATAATAATGTAAATAAACTTATTCTATGATAATTTTCAGTAGTAATTTCCATTTAATAAAAATCTTTAATTTAAAACTTGAAAACTTTAAAAAAATTTTGAAAAGTTTATGAGAAAAAATGTCACATTTCTTTAAAATCGAAAGTTTCGAAAAAGATCTTAAAGGATACGCTCCTTAATGCACCTTATGACTCGTATGATACGTGCGATATTTTGTAGTCCAATTAAAATATATCAGCTATATTGCGATATGGCACATGAGCTAGCTCCAATGAATAAGTTACACGTATGTACACTGTTTTTATACGTTCCTACACGCGACTTTGGATTCGCTGCAAGAGACCGTCCGTTGGCCTGATTACGAGTCATAAGGAAAAATGACTCGAAACTCAATCTTTATAATTATGCAAGTATATATGCATCGTAATATAGCAATTTGCGTCATTCTCTATATAATTAAAATATAATAGCTAGAAATTTACTCTATTTTCTTGTAGTTCGATCATATATATTTACATCTTATTTAGTACCGAATATGTCTAATTTTGATGTATCTACTATAAATTTAATATTGCAGATTGAAAATCGTGTCATTGATCATTTAATGTTAGCCAACTTTAAGTAAATGTGTGTAACGTATTCTCTACGATGTAATTTTCATCTTCCGCAACACAATTTACTTTCTCTCCGCGGCTGTCTTTAAATGATACGTATATATCAGTCTTTCAACGATAATTGTCGTATTTAACAAAGTTTCACGCGATGCTTGTATTCGAATGAGATAATAAAACGACATGGAATCTGTGTATTTTGTCAATGAAAAGAACGTTCCGTCGATTTCTCGCGATAATTTATGAAGCTAAAATCATACATCGGCAATAAATAATAATAATATTCTCGAAGCCGCTCGATAAATTTTATTTGATTTATTTGATATTCGATGACAATTTATTCGTCAACGACATATTTCATCGCCTTTCGATACGTCCAAGTTATAACATCCGCGACTGTATTTACGATAATGAACTTTAACCCGTGTCACGTGTTCGCTCACGTGTACGCGTGGCGTGGTTGCCACGTTTGTCCACGCACGCTCTAACGCTTTAACGTCTGTGCGTGAGCAAGATTTTACATACGCACGCGCGCTTCGCTCTCACCTGACATACGGCCTTTGTTGATAACGCCTCGTTGCTTGGCGATGATCGCATCGTTTCTCCGACAGCTGCATACCTCCTTCTCTTGTAAAGTGACATCGGTATCTGTTATTGTCGCTTCGTACACGTGTTATCGCGAATCCGCTTCTCCGTCACGAGACCAGCTCTGTCACTGCTCGCGTAGCGTTTGCGAGGAAGTACGTATCACACGTACAGTATGCACGGTGTACGTCACAATTGACACTTTCATCACTCCGTTCACTCCGATCTCTCTGCCGTGCCTGTCTGAGATGAATCTCAATCCTCATAATAGACGTTAAGAAGTTTGCGCGATGTTGTTTCGACATAATTTTATTATTCATTACGATTAACGTTTATTTAATTTATTTAAATTATTAGATGTTTGAGGCTGATAAAATGCATTCTGAATGGACTAGTATGCCTGTTTGAGATGAATCTCAATCCTCATAATAGATGTTAAGAAGTTTGCGCGATGTTGTTTCGACATAATTTTATTATTCATTACGATTAACGTTTATTTAATTTATTTAAATTATTAGGTGTTTGAGGCTGATAAAATGCATTCTGAATGGGCTAGTATCATTAATCCCAACTAATTTTCAAGTTTGTATTACAGGAAATTTTTTTATGAGAATGTTAAATACTGAAGTAATGCAAATAAATTTTGAGTGCACCGCGATTGTATTAAAATACTACGTAAACGTCGACATTGATAAGAGCTTTGTTTTCATTTTTTGCTCCTTAATATAGATATCTATTTTTTTTAGGAAACACTGCTTTCCTCCTTTTATCATATCTATCGTTCAGGCAGTTCTTGAAAATTAAAAAAATTGTCTTACTTGGATCTTTGCGCAGATGCTACACATATTCTAATGTCGAACGCATAAACTTATTATAATGACGGCGCGACAGTCGATTTCACTTTCGTTCTTTAGCAAACACGTAGCACTATTTTAAATCTGTTTAAAGAATTTAGTAGTTGAGTAACAATTATTTTTCATAAGTACATGCTCCTAAATCTATCAAATACGAGATTCTATTTCCAATAATCGATTATTGATGCATATTTTATTATTATTATATGAATATGTAAATATTTATATATGTATATAAGTTTTTCTGCTTACCAAATATGAACAATTTAATACTCGTCAATAAATTAAATCATATCTCAATTAAATCATACGTATGTTTAAGCATTTAATCATATATATTTAGTATTATGATATTTATTATCTAGCTTTAAAGAAAGATATATTTCTTTCCTTATTTATGATAGTCTGTACTTAAAAATCTACGTATCATGTTTTGAATTTTTTTTATGAATTGGGATCTAAAATATATATCGCACACACATTTGTGTCGTACGTTAAACATATAATATATTCATTTATATGCTTGTACATATCTCATATTTTTTATACAACAAAATATCTATGACAACAATACAGTTGAGAACGATATACAATATACTGTTATGTTCATTCATGGAATATGAGAATAAGACAACCTCGTTCTCTTAAGATGTAATCGTGATTTCGTAAAATACATAAGTATATACTCTTGATTATTCTGGTATATGTACAGTCTTTCGATATAACGTTTTTTTCTTTGTTTTATCTCATATACGTGGATCTGATATAATTAATTTTTTTTCTTATCGAGAAATAAAATATCATTTGTGTTCATGGACATTATCCGTTTTGATAAATCACTCACTCACGTAAGACTAATGAATCATAACGAATGCATTAAATGTTTAAACAATATATTTAATAACAAATACATTTTACGGAATATTTCTGCATTTATTAATAGTTTTTTTCAGCCACTTATCTATACAAGTGTCAATTTTTGTAAAGTGTTGTTTGATCTCAATACTTATAGTCAAATCATTATCTTCCGAATCAAAATTTAAGAAAATTGATATTGCATCAAATTCAGTTCAAAATCTTCAATATTAATCTTTTATAAAAGGCTGATTAGTAAATACGTGAGTGAGTTATTATTGCGCAAAAGTCAAAATTTAAGTTGTTACTATATCAAAGCCGATCCAAAATCTATAAAGAATAAAGAGATACATGTTAACAAAGAGATGTAAAAAATAAAAATGTTAAAAGAGATATTAATTCTATTTAAATAATAGCAGTTCACATCAGAATGTTCACTCACAAGCAGGAATGCGACAAAAGTAAAAGTACATATATTTAAATATAAATTAAAAATAGATCCAAAATGAAATAAAAGAAAAAATTTAACGATTTAATTGATTTTGTTTTAAGTAATCGAATGATTGAAGACAATGCAAATTAAGAAACTGCGAAATATATATTTATATATAATATTCAAATATCGTTATTAAATCCAAATAATTTAGATCTAATAACGGTTGTAATTTTGATTAGTAAATACGTAAGTTATGAACAAATCACGTATACATTACATGAGTACTTTCGAATGCTATGAGAATGTAAAATAGGCCAATCGATTTGCAAGTCGTATAAATCGGCGAACAGACGCTTCCCTAAAAATCTCGAAGCGACTATCATTTGTTAACTTTTTAACAAGAGAGAATATTCCTTAGTGAAAAAATACGCTATTTACACGTAAGATATCTAATTGTGCGTCGATTCATTAATTCGCCGTTTGGAGTGTATCAAAATCTACTTAATGGAATAAAATGATTAATGATGTCGTTATTTACAAATTTTTGTTCCATCCTAGGAAGTTGTATACCTATGTATTGGTATAGATACGTGCCCTCATAGCTCATGGAATTGTAAATCTTGTAAATGAATTACACGTAGAATTACACGCGCCGTTTAGTAGATTGATCTAATAAGAAAAATATTAATTATAAGTATTGAATATTGAGAAAATGCCATTTTTAGTGGATATAATAATGGCAAGCACGAATGGCAGTAAAGACTCATTGTAAGAAAATATTGAAATACATCGTGTTCTACGTTGTGTTCAAACGTGACGATGAATAATAAAATGTGTTTTATTTAATTAACAAAGTGCATCATTACCTAAATGTTTACAATACTATAAGAATAATTTTTCTAACAGCAATAAGAAATATTAGAAAAATAAAAATGAACATTATATATGAGAATATTTACGGGCAATTTGACGTTCGGAGCAGGAATTCATTTCGGCTTTGCTCTCTCTGTATAATTGTTAAATACTTTGCAGTCTCCTCGCGTCTTTGTGTATTCGTATATGCGTCCATTTTTATACAATACAATAGACACCTAGATTTCTAAGCCTTAATCATAAAACGTTAAATCAATTTATCATTAAAGCAATTATAACTATAGCTAAATATTCGTTAATATATCTCACTATTTTCCGGCGTTTATTGTCCAAGCAGTTAATTGTACGATTAAAAAACGATAAGCGGATCGAAATATAATAGAAACTTAATTGCTTCGGGCACCAATTGTATTGCACAATTTATACACGATTTAATTTAAATTAAGATATATTATCGTTAACCAATAAGTATTTTTTAATATGAAATGCTAAAAACGGTGATGTTTAAGAATTCTCGGATAAGTTTTGCGTCAGCAGCTAGATTCTTTACAAAGTAGTCCATCAAACATAGCACATACGTCTCTCTTATACTAATGCACACCATACATATATAAAGCGTTGTTTAGATTATACAAATTTATTCACTTTTTCATAATAAAATATCCAATTTTCTATTTTTATGCTACTTCGCGTGGAGAACACTCAACTCCACACGAGACGTATCCTGCGCCTTCAGCAACTCTCTAATAAACACGAATACGCGACACTCACGGAGTACATCAATCTCTTTTTCACATTTAATTCGTATATACATCCATATGACTCGCGGCTGGATTTTCCTTTAACGTCGTCTTGTCTCGATTTTCTTTGGACGGTGCTTGTGAGACACAGGCACAGACCCGAGCAATTTAGCGTATCACGCCTCTTTGCCGTACATTGATATGCTACTTAGACATGTGAAACGATCGCTCGTACACTCATGATAATTCTATTATTTCTATATAAACACGCCTGCAATATCGCAAGTTTTACACTTACAGTTTTACTGCAATTTTACTTATCTATGGGCCGTAAATAAAGCCGTATAATTAGCGTTTTCTTCGACAAATTTGTCGCAAGCTCAACTCTCCCTGTTAAAGTAATAATTTATTGGATGGTTCATAGGAATGGAGTTTAGACATTACGTGAAGATGATATTACTTCATTTGTTTGCTCTTTGTTATAATAAAATATAGTAGACTTGGGAGACTAAAGTTTATGTTTATAATGTCAATAGGCGTACGTCGTTAGCCCTTATTTGCCGAACGTTAGGTCAACGACTACCCTAGGAACAACGAGGTTTCCGCTTTCATTATCTCGTTTTATACTTATTGTTAGTGATCCGATCGGCACGCGCTGCGTGCACGATAAATAAATACTTTCGAAAGTGCGTATATATAAATCGGTGTATAATGTATTACATATAAACAATTCGGCTTTATTTATGCTCGTTAAGGGACCCTTCCTCGGAACAGGCAAATTATGATAATGAGTTTTGTACAGTAACGAGGATATCTTTTCAAGGAAAACAATTTGTTTTCATTTAAGAATTGTCGCCCTTTAAGTTTTATGCTTTGCCTGAGGAGGACGATCCCATAACGAAGCTGACGGAAACGGTTGGCTTTTGATCTGCAAATTTATATCTAAGATGATGATTGAGATTCTTTTTATCTCCTAAATATCAAGAGTCTTACTTTTCGTAGGCTGTATCACGTATATCTTAGGGGTATCTCACGTACAAATAAGAACGAGTAGAAAAATTGGCCATAGTGGCATAATGGCTGAATGCTCGTTGCGATTCATTTTTGTTCCATTTCCAACGAGCAAAGGTTAACTCACATTCGGTTCGGCGAAGTATTTCATGAGCCAATCATTCACACTTTTCGCATTTATTTTCACCCAGTGGATGTTAAACTTTACCATTTCTAAGCTCTGTTGCAGGGCGCGTTTACCACTGCGGACGTCATGTTGTTTGAAGAAGTCCGAGACCTGAGAAATAACAAGATATTTTTAATGATAATGCGAGAATTTTAAGAAAACAAGCATTGATTGATTTGTTTCTTTTTTTTAGAAAAATAATTTTTTAAAAAATTCTCTTACTTCGCGATAATCATATTCCGTGATAAAATAGTCGGGAACAACGTTACGTATGAGATCGCTTATCGACAGCGATTCATTTACGTATAAATCTTCTATTTGCGGCCAATAGGCTTTAATATGTCGCCAGGCGAGATAATGTCCGTGCGGATTGCCAGCAACAGAAGTTATGATAGTATTAACATCTTGCGCCTTAATCAGATTTCGATTCAGTGAAAAGCGAAGATAAAGTTTGAGTAGCCAAGGATCCATGGTAGCACCTAAAGCTTGCAACATCATTAGCTTTTCACTTTGAATTTGTGTCTTAAGATAAATTTCCCAGCAATATCGCCAATCAGCTTCTTTTCCAAATTTGACACCTACAAATTCATTTTCATTGTGCTTTATGTTTCTATAATTATAATCACGTTATAAATATTTCCTGTAAATCATATAAATATTTTTTTACCTGCCATATAAACGATATTACGTATATTGGGTGCGATAGATTTGCCTTTCGATATCCAGTCTTTAAAAAGACTCTTTGCAGATTTCACAACATCTTCCATCTCTAGTTCGATAGCGGATTTCATTACAGTGATTCTTAATAATCTACATTAATATAATAAATTAATTTGAAATTGTTTTGTTTAATGCATTAGCTATTGGATATATGTAAACAGATATGTTTAAATGCTATACCAACTTTTTTAAATGAGATCCTTCATCTTTCCAGCCGATAAATCTCGTAATCGGACCTAACAGCTGTTTAAAGAATAATATATATCTCTTGTATGCTTCGCTCTCCCCTAATCTTTTCTTCCAAAAACTTAAATATCGAAGCGCTGTCTCCCACGGTGCGTAATCTGTTTCATTGATAAGATAAAGTGAAAGTTCCAGCGGGATTGAAGCATCGAGCTCACCCGCATCGCAAAGCGCAAACGCGTCGTCGATGAGACTCGCTCTATCCGCCGGACTAAATTTGGTATGATTCTTCAATAAAGTCTTAATTATCGACAGCCACATCTCCTTTGGATAATTAACTCGATAAAAGCCTGTTTGGTTGATGTTGCACTTGATGTAATCGACGTCGCTCGGTATTTCGAAAGACGCTAATTAAAATAGACATCTATTTTAATTTCTTTGTCAAAATGATATATTTTATATTGAATAAATATATAATAATGAATAAATATTACATGACACCGAATAAATATATAATGCATAATTTTGACATAATCGTTCTGTATATATTACCGTTGGTCATATTCATCCACGCTTCCAGGTGATCCGGAGGCTCTTTGTTTGTATAGCAATTCAACGGAACATACCACTTATAGTCAAAGGGTGACTTGGGCTGCAAGATGTTTGTTCTGTTGTCTCGTGGTGAAGTGAGGAATCTCTTCTGAGTCGCCGTGATAGTATCGCCATCACGAATGATATTTACAAGAGGAAAGCCCATTTGTTGAGTCCAAGTGTTCATTATTGTCTGTCGATATTTTTTTAATTTTATTAAATATGCGCAATGAAATCGTGTGTATACGACGTAATAATATTCCTTACATATGTCCTTACTTTTATATCGAGCTCAGTAGTAGTAGATGCATTCTTCGTATGTTTTGTGAAAACCGCCCACAGATCGTTGGTGTCTGTATTTCCGTATGCGTGTAAATTTAGATAATCGTTTAAGCCACGTTTGAAAACACTCTCACATAAAACTCCTTCTAGCATGTAAAGTATTGAAGCGCCTTTATAATAGCTAACTGCATCGAATATGCTTTCTATGTCGATAGGATTTTCAACGGGCACGCTTATTGGATGACTGTTAGCTAGAGCATCGAGTTCGAGTGCTCGTTGCGTTTTGTATAAAATGAGTAAATCCATCATGCTCCATTCGGGCAAGATGTGATTCACGCCTTTATATTCGAAGAAGGTCGCTGCTCCTTCGTTCAACCAGATATCATTCCACCATTTCATCGTGACGAGATTGCCAAACCATTGGTGAGCTAATTCGTGAGCCATAAGGACGGTCATACGTTCTTGTATTTCGGTAGATGTTTCATGTGGATCATACATCAAGAATGATTCTCGAAACATGATTAGGCCCCAATTTTCCATAGCAATAGGCACAAAGTCGGGAATTGCTATCAGATCTAATAATAAAATGATGATGATAATTATAATAATAATGATAATAAATTAAAGATAAAAAAAGGGAAAGCATCCTTTTTAAACGTGATATATTATAAAAAAAGCAATACAAATAATTTTTAAATAACTTTATGTTTTTTATTATACTTATTTATATATACTTTATGCTTTGAGTTTTATATACCTTGCTTTGGCAAAGGATAAGGTATGCCAAAGAAAGATTCAAAGTAATCCATAATACGAGCGGCAGTAATCATGGCATATTTTGTTTGTGGAAGTATATGCGATGCGGCGTATACACTCACAGATGTATTTCTCTTGGTTAATTCGAAAGCTCTTTCGAAGTCACATACCACAAAGGCCACCAAGTACGTTGACATCTCTACGGATTCTTGAAAGTCGTCGCGTAACTGAGAAACAGTATTATTCTAGATCAGGTTGATGCAAATGCAGTCACTCGCAGGCAATATCATAATTGCAATATGACGTGAATTATTTATGATTGGCAGTAAAAAAAGTTAATAACACTTTCAAAATGCTAATTACGTGGCTTGTGCATTAAATTGCATCGTTATACAACAAAACTGCACACTTACAAGATTTGTGCCCAAGTAAAATCCGGCCTCCTCAGTATTTATCACTGGCATGTTGCATAATGAAATATGGAATCTATCCCTGTATATCGATATCTTAAATTTGGCTTTAAATTGTGGCTCGTCGAAACATGGAAAGGCCATGCGCGCATATGTCGGTACGAAATAAGTTGTGGCCAAATATCTAGAAATTGAAAAAAATATTCAGGAATTTAGCTTAATTATTAGTTAATTAAATATATTATATATCTCGAAAAATGTATTTACAATATTCGAGAAAGAGAATAATTAATTTCGCAATTACCTTTGTTCTTTCTCAGGAGTAAGATAGCTGCTTACATAGAACCCTTTAAATTCAGTGGAATTCAGCGTTGAATTAAAACTCAGAAATAACGTATAATTATTTTTTTTTCGAAACTTGTCCTCCAATTCCAGATACAGCTGTTCACGCTTTGGGTATTCGAGTAATTTCGCAATTTTCATTTCTTCCTGGCCATCTTTGACTATCTAAAAGCAGATTCTCAAAAATTTAAAATAAGAGCAAACATTGGTAACATCAGCTTTCAATTATGACTTACTTGTTCTTTTATTGTCAAATTTTTACAATGGAAGACAATAAATTTGGTCTCTTCATCGACATAGAATTCGATTGTGACTCGTCCTGCAAATAAAAATGAAAAATTTATTAAATAAAATAAGAAGGAAAATTTATTTCACTTTGCATTTAAACATATAAAACTATTTACATTTACCTCTAAATTCTAAGGTGGTGAGATTTGGATGCATTGTAATATTGTACCTAGTAGGATGTGCGAATAAAGGTAACCTTATGTTATCCCATGGAAACACCTGCAAGATTTCTCATTGTATTCGATAATCTGCGTGCGCTATCTTGAATAAGTTATTATGAAATAAATAAATGATACTAAACAGTAATATATAAATAAATACACTAACAGTAATAATGACAATAAACACAGAAAGAGAGAGATACATAATGTCATAACTATATCTGTTGATTGATTTTCCGTCATACTACATCGTATTATATATGTTTGCCTCATTTTTACATATTTAAATCTAATATTTTAAACTCTTTAATTTTTATACTTGTAAATATATGAATTTAAAAAAAAATTTATTAACCAATTAATTTATAGCTAATATGATAAAAAAGTCAGTATTTATAAATTAAACAAAGTTAAATGTGAATAATTTAATTAATAAAAATTGTAAATAATTTAATATCGCTAGTCGAATAATCAAAGGATCATTGAAAAATTGTAGTCGACCAAACTAGCCAAAAAATTGAGTTTATTAGTACGACGTTTCGATCATATGGTTGTGGTCCTTATCAAGTATACACGCTGTAATAATAATCAGAAGGCAAGCACTAATGGTAAACATGTAAGACAACGATGTCGAAACGTCGTATTAATAAACTCAATTTTTTGGCTAGTTTGGTCGACTACAATTTTTCAATAATCCTTTAATTAATAAAGCAATTTTACTAAAATGTGTGGAATAAAATCTATATAGTTTTTGAGTTTTTAATATTATTATTATTAATGTTTTTATGTGATAATATATCGAATCGATAATACCTCTCCATTCTCCATTCGAGGCACAGCATCTATTTCATCAGCTATAGTTTTATTGGACTCTTCTTCGGGACAGATGCAGCCTAAAAAAAATTAATAATTTGTATAATAAATGTAACAAATACGATTTTTTACAAATTAAATTTATAAATAACATTTGAATATAATGTTAAAACGAAGGTTTGACATTTAAATACCATTTCGTAAAGGTGCTAAAGCGATGATGAGTGACGTAACGAGAAGTACTAAGCAGCAGATACAAAGTACACAGTAAGTCTTTCTTTCAGAACACCTAACGACTTCATTCGCGCGCTCGTAAAAATTACGTCTGTGCAATCCTGCGTTGCTATCTCCTGAAACAAAGAATTTCCTAAGAAAAGGATCACCGCTGTTGCATTATTGTATCATACATACATTCGTTATGTTGTTTATAGTAATTTTATCTATATAATTGAGATAGATGATTTTATCTATATAATTAAGATTATAGTGATTTTATCTATAATAATTGAGAGGATAAATTTTACAAGTTGTTGTTGATATACATATAATTTGATAATTTTTATTTATTAGAATTCTATTTATTAACACATGTTATTTCTGCATAGATCAAAATAATAAATACAATAGATAAATAATTTAATATAGTATTAATGTTTAATTGTTTTGTATTATGTACTCTATATTTAAAAAATAATTACTTTTATCTGCATAGAACTCGGTTTATATCATTTTATAAATTATAATCGAATTATAATTTATATCGCAGATCTTAAAATATCTAATATCTTTGACTTTATAAGTTTGATTCTCTCGCAGCTACAGTCTTGACCTGAAATCAGGTTGCTACACGATTATGTATAATAATGTTAATGCACTTGACTTGATTTCTATGAGAACTAGATAGGCAATACTTTCAACGTATTATATTTTTTATAGTTTTATATTTATATTTAAAATGATTTAAAATAAACTAATTCAGTATTTATTAAAAATATTTAAAATTGAGCAAATATACGTATAAACACACACACACAGTGAATTATATATTCGATTACAAATTATATATTCGATATTATATCTACATATTTTAGATATAAGAAGTTTATTTTATTATATTATCCCCTTGCAAATATTCTCAGAAACTTCTTGTTGTTCAAATTAGTTTTTTATGTATTGCAATAAATTAAAGGCGAATATAAATATATATATATATATATATATATATATATATTTATATATAGATTTGCCTTTATACGAGTTAATTATTTTAAAAATAATATAAGTTTAATTTTGTAAATCTTAAGAACAGAGAAAAGTAATTTCTTATGTATAAATTTTTTAATATTCTATATAGCCTGTCAAAAAATTATATCATAAATATGTTTAGTGCGTGGTATTTTTGAATATTCTGATAAATAATATTCTTTTGTTTCTTCTATAAAATAATTCAGTTGTTATATATTGGAAATTGTAGTTTTTTAAAAATGAACTTGCTTAAAAGAAGAATGAATCATTTAAAGTGGAAATTTTATGTGTACATATACATATATATATATATATATATATATATATATATATATATAATTTTTATATGTGTGTACTTTTGCAATATTTTATTACATAGTCACGCACACATACAGGCATACATACAATACAATCATCAAACAATATTATCAATCTTTTGCACATTGTATCAATAACAAAACCTGTCAACCCCGAAGGTAGTGATATAAGCGCGTGGGTGAGAACGAGGCGGGCGCGCTTTAATTCGAGAGATCATAGGAAGCTTCTTATTGATCGTGCGCACGTGTTTCTCGTATAGCCTATTCACAGTCCAGAAGGTTGTAAGTCGGCCACCTAGTCGAGCTATTCTTATGGAAAAGGAATTGTCTGAGTGTAACACATGCGCGTTAAAAGCATCAAAGAGTGCCTCGACGACGGACACGTTAAAAAGCATCGCATTCTAATTCCCAGCTAGCCATCTGGATAAGGAGATCTCACCTGTCAGAAAGGCAACATCATCCACATCCTGCTCGCTCATGGCGAATCGATTCGGCGGCGGTCTCCGATGAACGTGTTCTTTTACCTGACCGTCTTTTGAGGCATAGGCGACTTTTATAAGCGGCTCTCTCTGTTCAGCCAGTATTCGTGTGGACGCTTGATCGTCGTCTCACAGCTTCTCCCTTAATTGAGCTCTCGCCACTGGACCTTAAAGGCTCGATGATCGAGAATTTTGATTGTGATGGACGGCGTTAAAAATTTAATTCACCGATAAATAACTCGGATCGCGTAGTGCTGTTGTAGTTGTTCGAATTGCATCAATTATGATCGCTTCAAAACTTAGGAAGTTTGCTATCGGAAAATCCGATCGTCGTGTCAATAAAGTGGAGTAACGTGATCGAGTTTGGCCGCGTTCACCTTTTTTTAAATGCAACTTTTAATCGGATCGCAATTGATAATCTCAATCCTCTATCGATGAGCCATAACGCGCGCGGGACACGAACGCGCGAGATCCAGGGGAGCAACACCAAGGGGCAAAACACAGGTAGCGGCGCGTAAGCCGCCGTAAATTCACGGGACTTAATTGGCGTGGATGCTCTGATTCGTGCGTAACGCAGGCGTTTCTGACGTATCAAACACGACCGGAATCAGGACTCCATGTAACACTATCGCCGGCAATGTAACTGCGTCAATCCTACCGTGAGAAACTGCCGGTCCGCGAGCTTACGAAACCCGAACCAAGTACCCCGACACCATCGGCGAGTCTATAACGCGCGACATTCCTTGACATTTCATTGGCATTAAAGCGTGGGATATAGCTACTGCAGAGTTAGGCAGAAATGGCGACTTTCCAAACCCCCTGGTGGCGGATTGCATTGGTAGCGGGGGTGGTTTTGCTGGTCCTCGTCAGACGAGGGTGGTTTGGCATCATAGTGGCGCCATCCATGATTTACCCTCTGCAACCCCTTTGTGGTCCACTGAATGATATTGATATCAGCTGTGGAAGTAGTTAATCGTGGTCGACGCGTGGATGTTACTTTTATTCGCTCGATATTATAAATTTGCATTAGACACTGATCTAATAATCTTCTTAGAGTTTCTTTGAAGACAAGAACTATTTCTGAATTATACTGATTTGATGAGTTTGATGTCGATTAAAAAAGCAATATAAATATTCGATTGCTATATGGTAAAATTAGAAAAAGTATAAAACTACGTTATATATTTAAAATATTGCAGTACAGAAATTTTATATTCGAGAAGCAAAAATATTACTCCTACCTTTCCTTTTCATTTCTTTTTTAAAATCCTGGAAAAAATTATTAGGCCAACTCAATTTTAAAGTTCGTGACGGTGCACATAAGCATTTCTTTCTTTATCGTGTCCTAGATCAAAAGAAACATTATACATATTACTTATGACATTATATTACTTATAACATTACAGCATATAAAAATTCTACAAATTCTGAATTATATGTATATGTATTCACAAATTATGGTAAAAGTTTTTTTCAACAATTATTAATATTTCAATTTTAAAAGAATGTAATTTTTCAGAGAGTAGCAATTATGTTCATAAAATAACTTTTTTTAATTTATATTTTAATACATATGTCGAAATATTGTGCGATAATTAAAATATTATGTATATGATTTAATTTTTTTATCTGTCGTTTTAAATTGTGATAATGTAAATGTATAAAAAGTTTTAAATATATAAGAAGAAAACGAATACAATATATATAATTATAATACATTATATGCGAAATCTGACTCTTTTGAGATCAAACTTGAAGGCCAGAATGAATGGATCAGAATTTGTTAGAGGGGTATCGTATCGATTTTCTCTTCTCTATGCAACCCCTCTCATAATCACATTATGTTCAGTCTACTGAAATAACATTTGTACTTTTATTTGGAGAAAAGAAATATTTTTGATGAGTTCTACGGCAACTTAATTTTAATAGAAATTAAAAATTTGATTTTCAAAAAGGGATAACTTATTTCCAGAAAAATATCAATTTTTAAAAACAATATATGTATAAATTAAATAATATGTCTTTTACCAAATTAGAATTGATTTAATGTAGTAAAAAAGACGCAAAATATCGATTGAATTAATTTAATTAATTCTATTACATAATAGATTACTAACATGAGCTTTAAAATTAAAAGTATAAAAATGTAACTTCTTCCCCTATATACTGATTACTCTATCTCCTTTAAAAATCTTATAAATTCTGAACTTTATTGTAGAATTCTTAGATTTATGTCAAGAAGCCAATAAAGAAGAACAATAAAATATAAGCTCTTAAACTTTCATAACATAGCAGAACGATAAAGAATTTATCAACGTGATTAAAATATAAGGGAATTAATTTTTTAAATTAACAAATTAAACGTTATGTATGAATGACATTTCTAAAACGATACATTTACGAAAATATCTACCAAAGTTTAAAAGCTAATAATATGCAGACTAAAATTTAAAGATTGATGAATATTGACGGGAATAGAGTGTCTATAAACAGCTGAACTTTTGAACTTATGACCCCTTGAGGTTTCGTTCTCGCTGTTTCCTTCCGATGAAATTTTTCAATTGTAAAAAAATAGATGTTTTACAAAGTAAATTATTTAAATAATAAATTATTCAACATAGTAGAGCCTGCTTCAAAATATATTTTGTATTTGGTCAAGCGGGTTCCGCGACGGTTCCGAGACGAAACACGTTGAAACATTCATGAACTTTCTGGTTGGAACATGTTCGTCGAAGTTACGTGTTCCGAAAAAATCGACATTTTATATAAACGTCGATATTTTTCCCAGTTACTTTAAAATATTACTACTGCGTAGTACAACTTCCAATAATTAATTAAACAAGCGAGCAATAAGTAAAAGAAAAAAATTAAGATATATTAAATTACAACACACATACACACACACACGCGCGCAAATCCAACGCCTTTCTTCCGTTTTGATAATATCTATCTTTAGATTTTCAGAAGTTAATTTTGAAAATTTTACATAGCGAGAGGAAATCACGAAGAGCATCAATTTGCGAATTTGAATACATGCAAGTTTAAGTGGACACGCGAGAGCATCAAAAGAGAACTATCTCAAACATCTTTCTAAGCAATATTCATATATATTCAGAATTTATCAAATTTGAATAATATAGTCACTGAAGTCACGTGAGCCAAGAACACGATTTACATAAATAAGTACGGCAAATCATGCGAGCCGATATATACTCTGTATAATCAAATATAAAACGTACATACACATAGACATACAATTTTTAAATTAATAATTTTTCTCGAAAATTTTGCAACTTATCGATGAAATATATTCTATGCTTTTTACTTGTTGCCTCATTAAAAACCAACTTTTCGTCAGTTTTGATAGATATCACGTATAAACATTTTTTTATACGTAATATATTTTACATAAACATATCGAACATATACATACTTTAAAATATTTACATGCGAAAATTTAACGAGACTTAACAAAATAATGCATGTTATACATACCTAAATCACATGTTTTTCTTGTCTGTCTTAGCGGTGCTTTTGCGTCTTCTGTGGTGTCGGCAGATTCGTTTTGCCTAGAGGCCCTAGATAGGGGCTCCAGTTGGATATTCTCGCTGCTATCCTTTCCTGAACTTCCTTTCGGCATTTTATTTCTACTTGTCTATCCTCGTTTCTATTTTCAGCCGACTTTTCATTCGGCAAAGTCGGAACTACGCGTGGAAGAATCTTCTTCTTCTGTTTCTCGATATGCTCTGTTCGTCAAGTGACATATCTTGAGATTGCACTAATGATTGGCGCCTTATAATTATTTTTACATTGTACACTTAAGAAAATAAACGTAGAAATCGTAGACCTTTTCTGGCATCTTTAGATATTTCTTTTCTATGACAATATCGATCGCTCTTTTCTTATGCTGGATGTAATGCTTATGTCGAAAATTATATCGAGCTATTTTCACTAATCGTAGCTCTCAGTTAAGGCTTTATGTCGGCACATTTAAGTCTGTACATACACAAACATTTTATCAATAGCATTGGTCCCAATATTGCGATATGTTGCGTTTGCGACATAAATAATTAACTCCGTCAATATGTGGGAGGTTTCATATATAAAAATGGTCGACGAATGTGATGTGGTCTGGCAAGTGCAATAAAATATACTTGCCGTTACTGAGGTAGTGCACTAACTAATAAAAATTAAGTCTCCAAATACTTTCTTTATACGTGATCCTATCTTGATTGAAAATAGAAAGATCTATTATGAGGTTGCTATTCGGAAGTCTTGTTTTTTCGGAATCAAATATATGTATCTCCGTACACAATGTAATATAATTATATGTTAAGAAGCTCGCAATATGTAGATGTGATGTATTTTTTTACAAATTATAGACAGTAATTAATCAGTCTTTTATTCCATATCTGATGTCGTTGACTAGTTGTGAACACGACGCTAATATATTTCTCTTTGTGGAAAGTCCGATACAGTTCAACCAACTTAAATCTGCAACATAATTGAGTACACTTGATTATAATTTCTAATTTTCACTCGTAAGTTTAATAAAGTTGTTTCGAAAAAGATATTGCAACAGAGGCAAAAGAGTTATTCTTGTCAAGCTTCATTGTTGGATCAATACTTTCAGAATAAATATCTATTCTTAACAAGAAGAAGTGAATAAAAAAAGTAAAAAGAATATTTATAATAAAACATTTTAGAATTTGTCTTTATAATTTTGATGAACATTGCATTTATATGCTCTTTACTATAGTTTTTTAAATTATAGTGAAGTATCATTTGTATTATTTTTCTTATTTATTAACTATGTTCTTCTTTGCGTAAATATCGAAGTACAATTTTCATAATTTGTGATTTCATATGTTATATATTGAATCATTAAAACTTTATTAATATTTGGATTAAAGTTTTAACGATTCAATATATAACATATAAAACCACAAATTATGGAAATTGTACTTCGATTTACGCAAAGAAAAACATTCTGCAATTATTTGAGAAACTGTTTATTATAAATTTGTAAAATTATATTTTAGAATCACGTGTATTTCAACAATTTCTTCAATATAGAATTTCTACAAATATGATATATAAATGACACTTATTTTTGTCGAACAGTTACACAAATAAAGAATGAGATTACCAAAACGAGTACTAAAATTATAATTAATTATTATTATAAATGGATGTATAGTACTGTGTCAAAAATTACGCAGAATTTAAAGGCATTTGACTTATGTTAATGTTTATTACAGACATGCGTACGCAACTATAATAGTATTCATCCAACTTGTTACGTAAACTCTTGTGTTAGAAAATTGTTTTGTTTAGTAATGCATTGTATAAAATATTATGTCTTTTTCAAAATAATATAGAAAAATATAATTTTAAAATAAAATGTAAATAAATGTTAATAAGCGTTAACGATTTTCTGAATCTTTTTTATAAATATATTTATAATTCTTTTAAAAAAAATAAATAGAATTATGAAACAAATTACATAACATAGGATCAAAATTATTACTACAATATCGAATGATCAAAAAAGTTTATGCTATATTTGTTCATGCATTACTTACGCAGTTTTTAAGAATTAGAAAATTAATTAATATTTGAAGAAATAAGCATGCCTCTTTCAATATTTTTTTTGCTTTTATATAATAATATATTAAAATTATCTAAATATTATTATATAAAATATATATATTATACATAAAATATATATATTATACAATTTTTTTCTATTTAAATATCTATAGAATATGTCAATTATATTATAATTTGTATTTTTCACTTGCATAAACTTATTTATTGTTTTTTAAAATTGCATTATGCAGTACACGCATACATAATCAATAAATACTTCATTTAAAGATATATTGTTATTCTTTTATTATAAAATTTTTAACAAACATTCGGGAAAAAAACGATATAACAATAAGCGAGCAAAAATAAACAAAAATTATTAATTTTAGAAGACTAGAGTATATAAATGCAAGCAGACGTTATACATTTAAGGTCATATATAGATGTTTAAGAAGATGCGATAAACAGTGTATCTCGCAATAGAATATTGACTCTTTAGCAAAAGATACGTCTGAATAAGAATGCTAATAAATCTGAAAGTGTTAAATACCAATAATTCAAAGTCCATAATAATATTTTAATTATTAATTGATTATTTTCTAAACGTTTATTGCTTTTGCGTAACATATCGCAATACAAATGTTCTAATTTTCTATATAATACAACTGGCATATGTAATTGTGATAACTATAATTATTAGTTTCATTTGTATCATTAAATTGACGTAAAGAAAAGAAAAAAAGAAGCGCTTACCTTTCTCTTACGTCCTACATCAATTAGAGCAATCCGACATCCGTTTTGAGGAGAAATCTCTCGCCAGGGTCGTTATTCATCGCGGTTAATTACAAAACGTCGTTACACATTCTTCCTCAACGAACGCAGTTTTTTCTCACTCGCGATCCAGCCGTTGCCTCGTTCCTCGATAGTATCGACACATTTTTGACACTCTGTTGCCATAAGTGATCAACTCATTAAGCTTGCGATCGCTGTATTGTCAACATTGAAGTTTCACCATGAAAACTCCCGGAATGCCGGCAGCCCTCGCAATCATCCCCAGAGGCTGCGTCGCGACGCTCTGCGCGCGATCTGTTCCTCGCTACAACGATGATGCACCCGCATCCGACGCGCATCGCCGTCGTCTTCGACGGTGATCCGCACGTCGCGCACGTCGGCAGGCCGGGGTTTTCCTCGGCAAGAAGTTAACGACGTAAACGGCCGCACGGTAGGAATGGCACTGAGAAGTGGAAGCGCTTCGAGGATCGAGCGTGGCTGAATTTCCGGACGCAGAGAGGCGCGCCGGTCAGGATCAGCTACAGGTTGCGCCCGTCTCGTTCACGCAGGGTAGGCATCTTGGCTGATCGCCGGGCGGTAAGGGGTGGCGATGGTAGTGGCGTATGCACTTGGGGGAGAAAACTGGAGAGAGAGAAAGGGGAGAAATCGATTTACTTAACATCCAGAACTCTTTGGCCCTTCACGACCGGGAGCCAGGAGGGATTTAGCTCGCCGGCGATATCATGTGTAGTCGCGGCACGAACCGAATCCATTCGTCGATTTCGTCCGGCGTATGTAACCACGAGCAGTGCCAACATGTATCATGATGACGTTGCAATTTAAAACTTGAATCTTAGTCGGGAAAATGTTCATAAAAGCATCAGTGACGTATGAAATGCGAATTTATTAATAATCGAATTGCTTTTCACGATATAAAATCGATCGAATTTACTATTAATACAGAATGGAATTACATGTTTCGGAAATTCTTTAGACACATGTTGCATAAGATATTACAATATGCATTCTGGGCAACTTTCGACTGCTATTTATCGTCGTGAGAACCTTCTACAATAAACATCATTAGAAAGAGATAACTTTTTTATATTAATTTTTGTATATATATAAAGACTTTACATTATGTTAAAAAATTGGACAATAAAAAAAGTAAAAACCAAGAATATATATCTTTAATATATCTTTAACGTTTTGTTATAATTTTAAATTTCTTTTTTCTTAATCAGAAACTATATAATGCACATCTGGTGACATCTTTAGGATTTTTATAAAAAAAGAAGTTAATAAAAATCAAATATTTGGATTGAATATATCGAATTTTTATAATTCCTTGCGAAAGAGAAAATATAATTTTTTCTTGTGCATAACAAAAATTAAAAATAGATAATACAAATTGTACAATTTGCTATTATTAGGGGTGAGTAAATAATCTTTTTTTAATATTTTTCTTTACAAAATTGTGTATATTGAATATTATAATATTGTTTTAGCATGATATTTCACCATATGCAATTAAAATTATTATTATTATATATGTATCATTATTTATGTTTAATAATAATTAATTAGAAATTGTCTCAAAGAGAATTTAGTAATAAATGTTTAATCCCACAAGTTTAATCATAAATTTAATATAGATAATTAATAAAATGATGACAATAATATTTTTTAAATATATATTAAAATATTTTTGTCCGATAAACAGTTTAACTTCCGTGATAAGTATACGATATGATATCTACGATTTGATAAGGTTACGCGACAATTTTACAAGTGCATTTTAGCTCTTAAACCTCAGTAATATTCTAAGACAAGATGCAGGGTGTAAGAATTGAGATTTTTACTTCGCATTTATGTGCCTGTTTCATGTATGATTATCATAATTACAATAAATGTGCATCTTGTAGATGACATTCCATGGCGGCATCACGGAGACGATTCTGTTTAACGGCTGGCACATAAATAATGTGTCAGGAATGATTAGTTCCGTCATTGGCATTATTCTCCTAACTGCAATATACGAAGCACTAAAATCTTATCGGTGAGTGAAATATTAATTATACATAAAATAAATGAGCAATAAACCATATATATATTTGTATTGTAGCGAATCTCTTTTCGCGCGCACGGCATTCCTTAGGAAGAACCAAAGAGAATCTAGAAAGTATGTGTCTATGTGCATATAATCTTTATTATTTTTATAAAATGTTACAATTTTAGCACAATATTTATTATATGTTTATTACAGTGCATTATTGTTCTCCAAAGTGCATTTTTTTCAAACGTTTTTGCACGTGATTCAAGTAGTGCTTGGCTATTTTATTATGTTTATTTTTATGACGTACAACTATTGGTTTTGCATTGCCGTCGGAGTTGGAACAGCTGTCGGATATTGGTTATTTGCGTGGGAAAAATCTAATAATGACAATACAAATTGTTGCTTATAATTATTTTTAAAAAATTGAAATTTTTTTGAATGATAAATTATATCAATTAATATATATTTTGTAAAAAATCTAATATTATAATATATATTCTTATATATATTTTTATACATATCTTTGTAGATATTTTGTATATATCTTTGTGGATTATATCTTTCGAGATTAGTTAATATAGTTTTTTTATTTAACTAAGAGATATAATATAGTGTATCGAGTAAAATTCTAGCATTAATATTTAATATAGTAATAATCTTACGAAAAAAAAAATATATATATATACATACATACAGAGTATAACTGAAAAAGCGTCCACGGAGTAAATAGCGTTATTTCTGATTAAAAATCAAGTCGAAAAGTCCTGAGCCATTTTTTTCTGTAATGCTTAATGAAGCGGTAATTATTGAATAAAGTTACGCCAATAAGCACCGATCTTTAGCCTCCTTATCGAAATTTTCTTTAAGAAAACGTTTTTAATGGAAGAAATATGATTTTTAATGCAAAATAAACTTTTTCGTATTATTACGATACATAAGAATATTGCACGATAGCGGCATGACATAGCGCCGTAGCGACGGAGCGCTCACGCACACTACCAGGCGCGCAGCTCACCGACGTGCGCCTGTCTAAAGGTTGGTGCTTATTGGCATAATTCCATAATTACCGCTTTATTAAGCATTATAGAAAAAAATGGTTCAAGACTTTTCGACTCGATTTTTAATCAGGACTGTTTGCTCCGTGGGCGTTTTTTCAGTTACACCCTGTATATATATATATATATATATATATATATATATATACATATATTTATATTTATATATTTAATTATAAATAAATAAATATATATTTGTTTCTTTCTTTTTTCGTAAGATTATACTTTACTATTAAATATTAATGCTAGAATTTAACTGAATACTCTATACTCTATATATATATCGCTTATCTGCTTTATATATATATATATATATATATATATATATATATATATATTGCTTATCTATTCAAAGAGGACATAAGTTAAATTAAAATCAAGATATATGTATAGTTTGATATTAATTTAACTTATTTCTTCCTTTAATAGATAAGTGCATATCTATGGACGACTTTTTACGATCGCAACCAATTGGAAATTATCACTAAATGTTATCTAATCTAATCTAATTTATTCGTCATAATGATATCTGTTTATTGTGATCTTCATGAATTTTCACTGATCTTGAATATTTCACCAGTCGTCGAATAACATAGAAATATTTGAGACGATGGCGGACAATCGAAGTTGTACTTGTCACATGGAATCAGAATCAAATGAGCATATACAGCAATTTAATTCAGTCCGTCATATTGTTTTCGGATGGGACAGATTTAATTCTATAATTTGTCTAGTGCTATTAGTATTTTTCTGCATTTGGTGTATAGTATTTTTCAATACATATGAAGCGATACAAGATGATCATCAAGATCATGATCATCATAATCATAATTGAAACAAAGAATGGGAAAATATAGTAATTATAAAAAAAATGTAAGTATTTAATAAAATTATTAATTTTTAATAAAAAATTTATTATCAATAATAATTGTAAATATATGCATACACATATCATAATTTTTTTGCGCGTTGATTTGTCTAAATTTATTTGTTCATATTTATTTTTCGACTTTTGTATTAATAAATTGGTATAATAATTACACTATGTATTTTACTAATAAATTATATTTATAATTTAATAGAAATATAACTAATTAAATTTCTTTATTTTTCTATTTAGGTAAAATTAATGAAGAGTAAATTATCGAATTCTAACAAAGAAAACAATTGACAATAAACCAATAGACAAATTTTTAAAATTTAATTTAAAGTTTATAAAAAAGTATATTATGTATTATATTCTATATATTTTACAATTATAATAAAGATTAAATAGTAGAAATAGAAATTGTCTTAATTAATTTCTACATATATATAATGATATTTCTAATAATATAATGATATCTAATAATATTTCTGTAACATTTTTCATAATAAAATTTTAACGAGTTGTGAAATTTATAGATACTTTGGTATCGTAATAATCCATAAGATAATTTTTCAGATTCTACACAGATTAAAAGTCGGTCACGTTTCTAAGAAAAGGCATTTTAATTATTTGATCAACCAAAAAAGTCTATCGCTATGAATAAATTCGACGACTGTTTAAATAAATCATGTTATTAATAAGAGAATTCGCAAAAAAAGAGATAAATTGGTATAACGAAACATATTGTGAATTACATTGACGTGTTTGTAGTTATATAGTACATACATACATACATATATATATATATATATATATATATATATATGTGTGTGTATATATATGCAATATTTTCATTGAAATGTTAAACACAATGTTATTCATATATACACAATATTATATAATATATTTATATATAATTTTATAAATTCTTTTTACTTGAATTAATAATAATAAAATACTGTTTAAAAGAAAAAGAACTGTATAAAAATTTCAAATGATCTTCAAACAAATGTTTTTAGTCTAATTTTTCTCACTTGTTATATATATTACATATTAAATATCGAAAAAATAACATTTATTATAAAATAAATATAAAATGTTCAAAATTTATTATAAAATCAATATATAATATATGTAATATTTACACAACTATGTGGTTTGCTTCAATTTTTTTAAAATGATCATGCTTCATCTTTTTTAAAATGATATAATATTTCCATTTAGAAATAAGCTACTTCGTATTCGTTTACGGTATCTTTTTCCTATCCTAAAAGTATCAAAAATTACATTTGGGAATTGTAAGCCCCAAGAGGAATGTCATAGTTTATGCCCAACCCATTTGAACGCACGAACGCATTGGAAATGGACGTTCGATACGAGGATAAAATGTGTATTAAGATAAAATAATATATATATATATATATATATATATATATATATATATACATATATACATATATATATTTATTTATATTTATTTATATATGCATTATTTATTTATGCATTTTGAATTTATTTGAAAATATAATTAAAATATTTGAAAGTTTATTTTATTTGAGTGACTGACAAAAATAATATTTTTATATTTTTCTATATTATTTACATTATTTAAAAGTGTAAATAAATTTATCACATTTGTTCAAAGATATATTAGCGCAAATAAATAAGAAAATAACTACTATTATCATATTTTTGTATGTCTTTATTATTCTTTCATTAATTTAGAATAAAATTTTCTAGTTATTTAATTAATTCAAATGTACTTAATATATTAGCTATTTTGATACTATTTTTGTAATTTTAATTCTTTTAAATTACTGCATTTAGCTGTATGCATTAAATTAATGCATACAGCTATACACATGTTTAGTATAGAAGCACGAAACGTGCATCACCGTGGGATTAATGCGAAGGATAGTCATGATTAAATGACTATGTACAAACAGAATGATGTAAGAACGATGTTTCTCGATGAATTTGTACATATATCGAAAATTTTACTCTATGTTAATCTTTCTTATCGAGCGACATTAATTGCGTTATATAACTAAAATGATAGCCAAAGTTACTGTAAAGATGCCTTCTGGCATTTGCGGCTAACGATCTTCTTGCAAAAGAACAGACTTTTATTGTTTAAGTTATTGAATTGTAATGTGATTCAAGAATTAATACATGTTTTTTCATTCCAAAGGCACAAGTTTTTTTTTTTTTCAGAACATCTATTTTTCCTGCAGTCTATAGCCTTGAACGGCCTTTGTGCATTAAGTCTTTTAAATCTAATAATCATGCACATTACAGCTCAGCGGCGCGGAATTTTTCTTTTTTTCGTTGCGATTCACGCCTCTGCCATTTCCGTCCGCTTGACTTTTTTCTCTCACAATTGTTTGTAACGCGCTCTTATTTTACAAATATAATAATAGTGAATGTAGACCTTCATTCGTGTATGACCTTCGAACGATGCATGTACACGTCAAAATGTCATGACTGATCGACGGCTGTTTACCAATAAAATTAACAACTGAAATACGAAGAACACGTTTTGGCTATTCAATCAATATTTCGGCCGAGCATTGTCTGCATTAATAGCGGATTTAAAATCGACCAATCATTTTTTTTAAAATATATTATTCTTAACTGATATTTCTCTTGAAATGCATATCAACAATTATGAGTTTTAAATATATATATAAATCAAATATTTCTCAAGCAGAAGGAAACATTATATTTTTTTATCAATGTAATATTTGTAACAAGTGATATAAGTATGTGATTATAAAAGGAATTGTAGATAAAACGTAATTGTTATAAAATGTTTTAACTGTAAAAAGACATATTAAAAGATTAACATTTTAATATATTTATGGAAAAATAGTTTATTTAAATATTACATGTATAAATAGAAGGAAATGCGTCTGATCAATATTATCATTTGTTACGTTGTAAAACAACTTTTTTAATATAGGGCATTTTAATTATAAGATAAAGTTTTTCTATGGATATATCTTCCCTTTCTTCTTTTAATATATATAAGCTATATGTGTAATTATGCATGCAATATTATTTAATATAACATAAAAATATACAATTTTCCTTTTTTTAAGAATATAAATATCATATAAAACATTGTCGATAACTTTAATACATTAAATAAAATTATTGCTTTTAAATTATATTTATTTCTTTATTATACTTAGTATATAAATGTATCTCTAAAATATCTTGAATCTTAAAAAAAGCTTGTATTCACTAGCTAGATATATTATTGATTATTGTTCAGAATTTTACTTTTTTTAAAAAGAAATACAGTTCGATCTGGATGGATAATCATGGAGATATTCGTTGTCAAATATCCCGATGCACTAGAATGTACGCGTGTGAGACTAATCGATACTGGCGTCGCTAGGTGGTAAGCCGTATATTCCTCCTTTACGCATCAACCCCTCGAACGTATCGCGCCCTTCAGTCCCAATATGTCGTTTGGTTACA